ATTCTGAAGGCCAATATGGAGAGTTTTGTCCAGAAACCTGAAGCTAGGTCCAGATCACCTTTCTCTCTTAGCAAATGTGATAACTTTGATAAAACCTTAGAAAATCAGCATTGGAGAGAAACTGGACCTCGCTGGGCACTACTTTCTTATTTTCCAGACAGAAAAGCTAAGACCCAAGAAAGCAAAACAACTTTCAAAAGCAGAGAGCAAAACAGCCCCAGATCCTCCCGACAAAAAGCCGGGGCTTTGGGTTCAGGGAGTACTTTCCTTCATGAAGAGAAATTCATGATGACAGAAAAAAAAGACAGAAACAAACATCATAAAAGCCAAAACTTCTACAAGATCATAAAGTAGCCCCATTATGTTTCCCAAAATGGCCTTCTTTTAAAAACTCCAATGTTCATAGCATTGCAGAGCCTTTAATAGTTGTCCTACTCTTAAGTACCTAAGAGGATCCATAAATACTTCCTGTGCCTCCCTTTTGATAGTGTTGAAACAGTAAAATAGTAATACGTTCAGACACTGTGCTGAGAGAAGTCATTTAGCTGAGAGAGAAATGAGAAAGCAGTGGAAGGATTTGAAGGCAGCTCTTTAATTCGGGTCGAGGCATTTTCCTGATGAAAATTAGTGTTTCTCCAGAATGGAATAATTTCCTATTTAAAGCTTCAGTTGACTTGGCCTTGTTATAATGTGAAAAAGATTCAAATTGCTGATTGAGGGGGGTTGCACAAAACCAAATCCAAACAAAGCAGAATTCCCTTCAAATTGTTCCATCCAAGTTTCCTTGGCCAGATGGCCTCTGTCACCAGCCAGAGGCCCCACCCACCGCACCCCACTCCACCGCTGGCCCTGGACACGCACTAATGACCCTCAGCTGCTCTGGCTCCAGGCTCACTTTCTCCTACTGCCTGGCCACCCAACCTCGTATCTTCTGTAGAGGGGAAAAGACAGGGGGAGGGAAGATACGTAAGAGAAAAAGGCATCCCTTTGGGTAAACAGGATTGGCGGTAGTGTATCAGTTCCCATGGCTGCTCTAAGAAATGCCCCCAAACAGAGTGCCTTAACACACACACACACTCCTGGTTCCGGAGGTCAGAAATCCATAATGGGTCTTGGGGAGCTAAATCCTTGGTGTCGTTGGGGCTGCCTTCCTTCCAGAGGCACCAGGGGAGAATCTGTCCCTTCGCTTGCCCAGCTGCTAGAAGCTGCCTGCATCCCTTGGCTCAGGGCAGCTCCCTCTGATCTCTGCTTCCATCACCCACAGCATCTCCTCCTCTGCCTGACGCTCCTGCCTCCCTCTTATAAGAACCACTGTGATGACACTGGGCCACTCAGATTAGTCAAGAAAATGTCTTCATCTCAAAGTCTCTTTTGCCACATAAGGTGCCATATTCACAGGGCTTGGAGTTTAGGATGTGGACATTACCCTGTCTATTACAGTAAGCTTGTTCTTTCTCTTACAGCAGATATTACGTGGTAGTGTCTAATGTTTAATGTCAGACACTACAGAGCTACAGCTATACACACACACACACAAATATCCATGTGCTGAATGAGATGAGACAATAAGCCTAGTATCGTTCAAATGAGAGTCACACAGTATAACATCCAAAGTTATTTTATCAGGCTGCGTGCATGTTAAATCACTTCAGTCATGTCTGAGTCTTTGCAACCTAAAGGACTGCAGCCCACCAGTCTCCTCTGTCCATGGGATTTCCCAGGCAAGAATACTGGAGTGGGTTGCCATTTCCTCCTCCAAGGGATCTTCCTGACCCAGGAATCAACCTGCTTCTCTTGGGTCTCCTGCATTGGCAGGTGGTTCTTTACCACTAGTGCCAACTAGGAAGTCCAATTATAGTTAATTTCCAGTGGTAAAAAGAGCAAACTAGAACTGATAACCTGTGGAACGCACTCACCTCTCAATACTTCCCAGGACCTTGTAACCACTAAAAAGACAAAAGCCCGAATAATTTGGCAGTCCTGTGGGGGGAGCTGTGCGTCACTGGGAAGGGTCAGCAGGTGACATGTCAGCGTGTGAAATGTCTCTGCTTTGGAGCTGGGACAGCGCTGCACCTGCCAGCAACAGGAAGAGCGTGTCCCATGGAAGGGGTCTCCAGGCAGCCGGCTCGTCTTCATAAAGCCCACCTCCCCCTGTGTGAATCAGAGGGGAACTGCCCCCTGCAAGTGGGGCTGAGGGAGTGTGCTGTGGTCACGTAACTGGTGCAGCTATCCTGAGAAAGGGGAGGGCTAGAAGAGAACTGACAGGTACCTCGCAGGAGTGGATAAAGGAAAAGGGGGAGATGTTAGGACTGAAATCTACTCATTTCATTCAACTCAAATAGAAGCATTCTGATGCTAATCATTCCATCCTCACGCCCAGCTGTTGCTACACTGGGCGGCTTGGCTCTCTGTCCCCACGCAAACATCTGACCGCCTAGACTGTTATCCAGGCCTCACTCTCCGTCTAGTGAGTGGAACCGGTGCCCTTGCCCACCCAAGCCTTTTCTTCCCGAGAATACCCCTTATCTCCCAAAATACCACAGTGCCCCCTTCCGCCTCGTTTCCATCATGACAGAAACATGCTCTAACATCCCCTGTTGTTTCAAACCCCCTTCGTCCCATATCCTCCACATGCCGCCGCTCCAGGTCTCTCTTCCCTGCTACACCCCTCAGAAGCATCTCTACCCTGTTACCATTTGACCTCCTGATTTACCTCTCTCAAATCCAGTTTTCTACCCAGCTTCTCCCTGAAACCTCATTTATCAAGGTCCTCAATGACATTTATGCAGCAAATCCAGGGCACCTCCCCAGAAGTCCAGTGGTTAAGAATCCACCTTTCAAAGCAGTGGATTCAGGCTCAATCCCTGGTCAGGGAACTAAGATCCCACATGCAACGGGGAGTCCGTGCGCCAGGACTCCTGGGCCCTTGTACTATAGTGAGGGAAATTCCTGTCCCCCTAGGGAAGCATGACCATCACAGCTAAGAGCCCACACACTGCAGCGAAGACCCAGCGCAGCCAAAATAAAAATTATGAAAAGCAAATTCAACAGTCTAGGCACAGGCTGTGAATGTGCCTGGAAAACGCCACCTGCCCTATCAGAAATCAAAGGATGCTGCAGCCACCGCTCTCCAGCTGCCTGGACGGTCAGCCCTGAGGGACTCAGGTGGAAACAGAGTGCCCACCATCAGGCCGGCAGCCCCGGCAGCCCCCAGACGCGCCCTGAGGAGCCGCGGGATGAGGAGGCAGGACACTGGCTCCAGGCGGCTGAGGTGCAGGTCAGGGAACGACCTCAGGGAGCCCAGCCTCAGGCCCTTCCCAAACACAGAGACCCACTCAACTCCTGAGCTGAGATGTCGGGTAACCTTTGATGTCGGCATGACCTGATTTTTTTTTTCAATAACCCCTCTATATTCTGGCCTCTCCTTTTCCAGAGCAGTCCCTCACGCTGTCTGAGAGGACGCCTCCCAGGCTTGAAGTCCTCAGAAAGTCCCCTGAATAAAGCTTTAGGTTATGACTTTTTTTCAGTTGACACTCATGTGATCTCTCCACAGAATCTTCATTTTGATCTTTCTGAATCGTGAGTCAGACCACGTCACTCCCTTTCTGCAGCCCCCACTGATCTCCGTCACACTTACTCCCCAGGGAGTGTGTCCTGGGGGTGCGGGTGGTCAGTTCACAGCACCGACCCCCGGCCAACAGCTCCTGGGCTCCAAGCTGACCACCGCCCCATCACCTCTGCAGACGCCACCCCTTGTCATCCCTCTCACAGGGGCTCCCCTGTATGTTAACCCCCTTCCCATGCAACACAGGCGTGGAAGGCACCCTACATTGCCACTTCCAAAGTTGGCTGTATCTTTGGTATGAAATTTGCTAGCAAACCTCCATCAGGGACTGAACAAGCTCCTCAGTCCTGATGTTGGGGTGTTGCTGGTTTAACATGAGGCTGTGCTTTTTCATGCCTCGAAAATTATTGACTCACAGCATAAACCTTCCCAGGCTTCATGGCAAGAGTTAATATCTCATGATAAAGTCTCCCAGGAGATACTCTTTTGGCAAAATTATTTAACATTCAAGACCTAATATATCATGTTTGTTTACTGTGATAAACATCTTGACAGATGACTTACCTGTATGCATTTGCCTCAGTTGCTTAAAAGTGGTTAAGCTTTATGTTTCCTTAATTCATAAATATCCCTAAAATTCTCTATGCACTTTACAAGATATTTTAAAAGTCAGATTATAGGGATATTACAGTGCATATATTCTTAGGAAAATAACATCATCTTTAACTTGAAAACTTTAAGATATGAAGGGAATAAAATAGGATTTCTGAACCCATCTATTCATTGCTAATAAGAACTCCCTGGGCAATTCATTAAAAGTAGTGAAGATATATGCTCTTGTGAAGATACCTAGGTGACTAATACACTAGTTCTGTTGATCAAGCTAGCCTTAATGTTGCACTCAGCTTGAAGAAACTTCAGTTTTTTCCTTCCCAACTCTACACTCCTAATCTCCTTTCTAATAGCATTTACTTTGGAAAACTGATCATCTAAATTCTTTCTCTGGTCCTTTGAGATGTAAATCTTTTAGAAAGCTTCTTGCCCATTTGACAGCCCAGGTCTCTCCCCAGGACCCAGGAGCCGTCCCTTTTTAAACGGAACCATGAAGGAAACAGGCGAGGAGCCTAATTTGGACAGGTGCACAAGAGCAAATACATGGGCTAATCCCCCAGAGGACACCCGCCAGATTCAGGAGCAACTGCCTTTGCTCCATCCCTGGATCAGCCTCCCCGCAAAGGCCTCCAGCACTTTCCCCCCAGTTCACCCCGCACTCAGGAGCCCCCCTCCCTCTGGTTCAACTGTGTGGAGCTGACTCTCCTCTATGACAACTGTCTTGAATAAAATCTCCCCTGCCTGTTGAACTTGGCCCCGTGCGATGAGGTTACATTGACCCTAAAATCCCAGTACTGGAGATGACCAAGCTTTCTGTACTCACAGGCTTACCATCTTGACCAGGCTGTCCACGGTAGCCAGGATTCCCAGGCTGTCCGGGGTCACCCTAGAGTGGAAAAAAAGCTCTCAGTCCAAAACAACCAACTCTACTGATTCAGTCAGAGCCCTCCAGGGTTCAAAACCAATTCCATCATTTGCAGCTTTTTGTAAAACAAACAAACAAATGTAAAACTGTAAATCCCAAAATAGGGTTAGAAAAATGATATCATAGTTACTTTTAAAAGTAAAGCCTTTTTACTATGAAATATTTCAGGGATTTAAGTCTGTGAACATTACAGGTATAAGAAAGGAAGTACTTTTCACTAATGTAAAATGTCAGTATTTATGACAGGAATCATTTTTAGAATTCTGAACAAACTGTGCAATGTCACAACAATTATGGCTTCAACAACTAATATTTCACTCAGAAATCTACAACTTTAATTCTATTCTAGACATTACACTACAGGAATCCATGACTTATGATTTAACAATTCAATTTATAATTATTTTTAATACGATATCACTTGTAGGTTGAATCTAAAATATGACACCGATGAACTTACCTATGAAACAGGAACAGACTCAAAGACAGAAATAGACTTGTGGTTGCCAAGGGGATAGAGAGGTGGGGGATGAATAGGTTGGGAATTTGGGGTTAACAGAGGCAAACGATTATATACAGGATGGATACACAACAAGGTCCTACTGCATAGCACAGGTAACTATTAATATATTCAATATCCTAAAATATACCATAATGGAAAAGACCATGAAAAAACATATATATGTGTGTGTGTGTGTGTGTGTGTATGCTTAACTGAATAAGTTTGCTGTATAGCGGTAATTAACACAACATTGTAATTCAACTAAACTTCAATAAAAATAAGAATAATTTATAACAAAAAGAGTTAGTTGTTTTTTTTTATAAGTCCACAGGCTACGCGATCTTCCACGTGGGAGTGAAGTTTAAAGCCATACAATTGTTCCTTTCAATCTAGTCAGTGTGTCTCTGCCTATATTTATAATTTCATTTTAACACAATATTAAACTTCTACAATTTGAATATTTCCATCAAAATGAAAAGTGAAAGAAAAAGTGAAATTCACTCAGTCGTATCCAATTCTTTGTGACCCCATGGACTACACAGTCCATGGAATTCTCCAGGCCAGAATAATGGAGTGGGTAGTGATTCCCTTCTCCAGGGGATCTTACCAACCCAGGAATCAAACCGAGGTCTCCCACACTGCAGGCAGATTCTTTACCAGCTGAACCACCAGGGAAACCCAACAGTACTAGAGTGGGTAGCCAATCCCTTCTCCAGCGGATCCTCCTAACCCAGGAATCAAACCAGTGTCTCTGCATTGCAGGCAGGTTCTTTTACCAGCTGAGCTACAAGGGAAGCCCCATGAAAACGAAGCCTCACGAAAACCAGGCCCAAGTCAAACACCCTGTCCAGCTCCCAGCGTCCTTGAATACATGTCACACCTAAAATACAAATGCTGTCCTCACCAACCAGACACCTTCAAGGAACATTATTCTGTACAGCCTGGCAACAAGCCCAGACAAATTCTAAAAACTGTAGCATGTTGCACAATGGCCAGTACTGACCAATCAGATTGGAAAAGACCCTGATGCTGGGAAGGATTGAGGGCAGGAGGAGAAAGAGACGACAGAGGATGAGATGGTTGGATGGCATCACCGACTCAATGGACATGAGTTTGTGTAAGCTCCTGGAGTTGGTGATGGACAGGGAGGCCTGGCATGCTGCAGTCCATGGGGTTGCAAAGAGTCGGACACAACTGAGTGACTGAGCTGAACTGACCAGTCAGATGGTGACCATGTGTGAAAAGCAATGAAAGCAACTTTTTTTGTGTGGGGTGAGTGTGTTTTATAATTTAATTCTAAGAAATACTTCAAAAAATAGTATCAGGGAATTCCCTGTGGTCCAGTGGTTAGGAGTCCATCCACTGAGGGCACAGGTTTGATCCCTGGGTGGGGAACTAAGATCCCACAAAACACAGGGTGTATCCAAAAACAATAATAACAATATCATATTTGTGTATTATGGAATCCATGAGTGGCATCTTGCTGAAAAAATTCACGTCTCAGCCATCATTTATCAGTGAACTGCTACCGAGAGATAACTGATTTCAATTCAGCAGGGCTTCACATCTACTGCAAGAAATCATTCACACATACCACAGCGATTATATGTTAACGAAAGGCCACTGCTAAGGGAACTTGTAGAGAGCCAAGTGCTCTGGTCTGAAATTCAACTTCAGGCTACTGCCGAGGGAGGTTTTTTCCTGGAACGTAACAGGAAAAATGGAAAGAACTGTGTGAACTCTACCAAGGAGCCAGTGGAGAAGGGATGGGCTTTTGCTTGTGCTTGCCCAAGAGGTTGACCAGGTGGAAAGGCTGAGGAGAAGGGACATGCCGTTTTTAAAAGAGATAGAAAAGGAATAGCTGTAAACTTGGGGAGAAAAGTAATGCAGGGACATGTAATTTCATGCTGAAGAGGCACAGTTTGTAATTCTAATCCAAAGATAGCCAGTGTCAGCCGGGATACTAGAGAGCAGTGTTTCCATTCTCTAGGGTAATTAGATGTTTTTCCTTCTTATTTTGAGAAGATCCACACTGATTTCTGGCCTCTCTGCCATCTTTCTTTAACCATGTTCAGATTGGCCTCACTACTTCTCAACAAATTCCATCTTTCTTTTCTTCTTTTTTTCTCCTGGGAAGACTTTCTTCCTTTTGCATCTGAGTCAGTATAACAAGGTTTCCAGTCAGTGTACCCTCCTTGTTCCTGCATCTCCTCCTGATGCCGTTTCTACTGAATACTGCAGCAGTTCCCGAGTCACTCACTGGTCACTCTCATAACGGGGGTTCTCTCAAAATCATCCCTTGGTTGCTCTTCATCCATCGTTTGGATCGAGGCCCCTTAAACACATGGTCAATGTTTTCCACGGTTTTAGGACAATGCTGAGTGCCAAGGAGAATATCAATAACTATTCGCTGATGGTGACTGCAGCCATGAAATTAAAAGACACTTACTCCTTGGAAGAAGAGCTATGACCAACCTAGATAGCATATTAAAAGGCAGAGACATTACTTTACCGACAAAGGTCTGTCTAGTCAAGGCTATGGTTTTTCCAGTAGTCATGTATGGATGTGATAGTTGGACTATAAAGAAAGCTGAGCACCGAAGAATTGATGCTTTTGAACTGTGTTGTTGGAGAAGACTCTTGAGAGTCCCTTGGACTGCAAGGAGATCCAACCAGTCCGTCCTAAAGATCAGTCCTGGGTGTTCATTGGAAGGACTGATGTTGAAGCTGAAGCTCCAATACTTTGTCCACCTGGTGCGAAGAACTGACTTATTGGAAAAGACCCTGATGCTGGGAAAGAATGTAGGCGGGAGGAGAAGGGGACAACAGAGGATGAGATGGTTGGATGGCATCACTGACTCAATGGACCTGAGTTTGAGTAAACTCCAGAAGGTGGCAATGGACAGGGAAGCCTGGTGTGCTGCAATCCATGGGGTCACAGAGTCGGACACAACTGAGTGACTAAACTGAACTGATTATTTCCAATCTGTTAATGACCTCTTTACTCATACAGTATTAATTATCAGCAAAATTCACAACATCAAAAGGATCTGAGAAGGTTTAACTTCTATGATGATGAGGCTGAAATAAAACTTTGGCATGAGAAGAAACAGGACTTGTGTTTTTAAGCTGCATAAAAGTACAAAACGTACTTAACGATAATATTTTAAATGAATCAAAACTAAGTTTCCAAGGGAAAAAAATCACCCACGAGATAAACCCAATGTGACTTCTTAAGGCAACACAGGTCAATGGCCTGCAAAGGGAAAATAATCTCTTCTGCAGGTTGTATTATTTCTGGTAGGTTTTAGTGGTTATTTGAACTATTGCCCTACTGGTTTATTTGCAAAACCTCAGGTAGGTTTGCTATTGCTTCCAAAAAACTGGAAGAATAAAGTAAACCCTAACTGATTTTTTAAGAGAAGGCTAATTAGAATAAAAATTCGATTTTACTACTGTAGTAAAAGCTGACACCAACCTTTACTGATTGCTTACTACACACTAAGCACTGCTCCACAAGATCTGCTGTTGTTCAGTTCCTAAGTCATGTCTGACTCTTTGAGACCCCATTGACTGTAGCCCACCAGTCTCCTCTGTCCACAGAATTTTCCAGGCAAGAATACTGGAGTGGATTCCCATTTCCTTCTCCAGGGGATCTCTCAGACCCAGGGATTGAACCAGCATCTCGTATGTCCTCTGCGTTGGCAAACAGGTTCTTTATCGTTGAGCGACTAGGGAAGCCCCCTATGAGATTTACCTGTATTCAATTTCTTAATCCTCATAAGAATCCCATGAAGCAGGTAATTTTACTGTTCCCACTTTATATATAAGAAAACTGAGGCCCAGGAAGGTTAGGTAACTTGTCCAGGGTTACAAAGCAGCAGTGGAGATGGGAACTCAGCTAATTCAACTTTAGACACGATGCTCCTAAATGCCTCTCTCTCTGCCCACATCAAAATGCAAACTGTTATCAAAACCAACCCAGGGAAGGCTAGAAAGCTTAATGTGGAAACGATTTTCCAAATATATTAAATTAGACATATGACATATAATTACACAACTGTGACTAAATCCTCAATCTACTTTCTTCTACCTTATTTGAAACATGTGCAATTTCAAAAAATATGTATTCAGCTGAAAAGCAATTCTTACTTATGATGAATTGATTTTGTGCCACAGAATTTCTGAGTTTCTTCCAGGAATGGGAACATCATGGACTAAGTTGAAACATCCCTACACATGGCCTTGCAAGTGTGCAAATATGAACAAAGTGAGAAACAATTGCGCTTGCAAAAGTAAGCTAATTATTTTAAGTTATTCATCCAAAACAAAGGTCTCCTAGGCCTGAATCCAGTGTTTTAAAGCTTTCTTCTCAAAACCCCTGTGCCTTGAGACTACCCATTGGCCCTCACAGAAGTATCTGACCTAAGACCAATTCCTTTGGTTTTCACCAAAACCAACCTCTTCTCTCCCTCGAAACTCAAATGCTAATTCTCTTCATCTAGAAGGAATCCACTTAATTTGGGGAAATTAGCATAAATATGTGAACGGCCCAGTGGTTCCTAAAATTTTCCAAAGGCTTTTGTGTTTTAGCCCGAGGTTACTTTGATAACCCAAAGGAATCCCTACTCAGTAGAATCATCAGGGTTGAAACAAAGGGCATCAATAAACATGTAGAAAGAATGGTATTTCAGAGAAAATCAGTTATTAAGAAATTGCTTCTTCCTTAAGAAAAAGTTGAAAAAAAAAATTGCTTTTTTTCCACATTTTCACTCTGTGTGTGTGTGTGTGCTCAGTTGTGTCTGCCTCTTTGAGAACCCACAGACTGGAGCCCATGAGGCTTCCCTGTCGGTGGAATTTTCCAGGCAAGAATCCTGGAGTGGGTTGCCATTTCCTTCTCTAGGATATCTTCCCGACCCAGGGATTGAATCCACTTCTCTTGCATCTCCTGCACTGGCAGGCAGATTATGAAGATTAGATCAAATGTGGGGAGTTTGTCCCCACAAATGTCCCTTTAGCCACGAAGTGGAGGAAGAAGCTGCCATTGCATGGACAGGTCTTTTGGAAGGGATTAATTTTTAAACCGGAGATTGCCTGGATCTTTCATATAGAACAAAAGCATTCCACATGGGTTAATTGGGGGATAGGTGAATCTTACTTTTTCAATCACTTTATAATTCATTAAACAAAAATTATTACTATTAAGCACTACTCTAGACAATGAAATTCCAAAGGAGAACTGAACGTTATAACCTTCACTGTGAAATGCGTCCATACAAAAATCATTCCCAGAGTGTCATTAATTTGGTCACTCCCATTGACAGTAGGGACACAGAATGAATAAGCCAGCCTCATTCAGGGACTCACAGCCCCACAACAGATATATTTCTCTATGCTTATTGAAGACGCCAAGTATGGAACGTGCTGCGCCTCGTCTCTCAGTTGTGTCCAACTCCTTGCGACCCGATGGACTGTAGCCCGCCAGGCTCCTCTGTCCATGGGGATTCTCCAGGCAAGAATACTGGAGTGGTTTGCCATGCCCTCCTCAAGGGAATACTCCCACCCCAGGGATGGAACCCAGGTCTCCCACATTGCAGGCAGATTCTTTACCATCTGAGCCACCAGGGAAGTCCAAGAATACTGGAGTGAATAGCCTATCCCTTCTCCAGAGAATCTTCCTGAACCAGGAATCAAACCAGGGTCTCCTCCATTTCAGGAAGATTCTTTACCAGCTGAGCTACCAGGGAAGCCAAAGTATGGGCTATCTCAGTTAAGTTAACCTGGTTTTACAAAAGCGTTGTCATATTTGATGGAAGTTCAGAAAACTTGAAGCAGATGACTGACTTTATCTTAGAATCAGCACTTACTCACCCATCCACACGTGCATTTCTCCTCTTTCAGTTTCATGACTTAACTCTCAGCTCCCAGAACCCAATTTCTCGCTACTGGGAAGACTAGATTCTCCTGCACAGGTAAGTCTGCCTGATGGAAATCTGTAAAACGTTCCAGACAACATCTACCAAAAACGACCAATACATCTCAGCTGGATGTATAGTAAAATCACTTCATCTGTTTTAGTTCTGATTCTGGTGCACTAATTAAAAACCTATCAATTTTCCAGGCCAGAAGTTCTCCAAAGGAAGAAAACCTCAGGGTGTTGCTATGGATCCTGTTTTTCCCATACAGGTCCCTGATGTGAGTAAGGAACAACCTCCAGGGGAAAGAGTCCTGAAAGGATGGAAGAGTGTGTGTGTGTTCCTGGCCTCCTGCCAGCGTTTCTGAAGAAAATGGAAAGCAGAGTAAGAAAGCACGCCAACTTGAAGATCAGTGGAAAACTGCAATTTCACTTAAAGTAGTAGGTGGCAAAGGGGTGAGATGATGACTAAGAAGAGAGAATGAAAATGAGGAACACATGAAACTTGAAAATACTGAAAATCAGAGGCCTTAACAGATAAGACAAAGGGCGTGCTAAAAGTTTGCTGTAGGAACATACATGCATAAAAATTGGTATCACTTCAAGATACCTAATGGACCACTAATGAAGATCAGGATACATCAGGAGGCCCTGGATGCCTGCCCCCAGAATGGACAGCCCCTTAGAGGCCCTGGGGGCAACCTGAGCAGGTGGAAGTTCCTCTGGGCTTCCACATGGTATCTCCTGCAGATCAAATCACTTCAATGTAAAATATTCCAAGTTAAGTAAAGTTGTGTAAATATATTTCAAAAGATAGTCTGCTGGTAGGTAGGTCACACCATGCTGCCTTGCAAGGTAAATTGTTTGAGAAGCATATTGCAGGTATTTTTCCTTTGTGTCAGAGCATCCTAAATAACATGGCTACTTTAGCAGAAGAACACTTGAATTAATCTTCCTAAATGCAACCTAAAAATTGTTCACAATAATAGAGTATGAAGGACTGAAGTCAAATTTCAAGCCAAACAGGTTTACTTTGAATTTATCCTTTTATTTCTTAAATTGTGCTTCTTTCCTAATTTCAAGCTAGGTTTGAAGTGGGTCATAAACTATCACCTGAAAATGGATGGGGAAACATGCACAAAAGACCAGAATTCAATTCTCCCAGATCACCAATCTAAAATCTGACATTTTTTAGTTGTGATGATTTAAATTTATCAGAAAATTCCATCTAAATGAATATTATAATTCATATTTAGCAAAATTTATTATGGTCACTCCAGGTTAATAAATGATCAATACTCAGAACATTCTCTCAAGCTAAGAAGTCATACTTCTTTCAAGTTAGACATTTTTATCTAGATGACATTTTTAAATAATATTAAGTAAACAAGATTTGGTTTTCCTTGGTAGCTCAGTTAGTAAAGAATTTGCATGCAATGCAGGAGACCCCAGTTCGATTCCTGGGTCGGGAAGATCCCCTGGAGAAGGGATAGGATACCCACTCCAGTATTCTTGCGTGGAGAATCCCATGGACAAGGGAGCCTGGCGGGCTACAGTCCATGCTATCGCAAAGAATGGGACACGACTAAGCGACTAGGCATAGCACAGCAGCACAAACAAGGTTCATCTACAGAGGACAAGCCACTTAACATCTCAGTGTCCTAGGCTATGTCTAAGTGATGCCACAGTCAGTGTCAACTTACTTAAAAATTCATTCATATTTAATAGATAGAAACAGATTCAGAATATTATGTAAAAGGTAACTAGTTATAAAATAGTATGCACATCATACTTCCAATCATATACAAATGTGTACACAAATGAATATGTGTTTATACAAATATACACAAAAAATACATATGCGCACAAATAATATATATGCAGATACATGTGCAAATAAATATGTAAATGCAACTGGGAGATATGCATGTATGAAAATGACTAAAAGAATATACTTTCTAAAAATAATTATTGCATGATAAGTAAAAATATAAATGAGTACATATACACACCTTTGACTCTCTTTTTAGACCTGGACATCAAACACAACACTCAAACTAATTTTTAAGTTTTTATTTCATTTTTCTATCTGAAAATCATCTTGACAGATTAAGCATTTAGACATTTAAGAATTTAGAACATATCATTCTTCATTTTTTACCTTGAGTATCATTCTTGGGATACAGTAGCGGCATTAAGGGGAAAAAACACAAATGGACAAGAAAGCAAACAAAATATTCTCCCCCACTTTATTGTGGTATCAATTTAAGGTTCAAAGGCAATTACAGATTAGGATACACTTTTTTTAAAAAATCACTAAAACTCACCATTTAAACTCTTCTAAGCTATTAGGCAGAATATTCACAACAGGCTCAATGGTGATTAGGAATTTTGTGCTTGCTCAGCTTTAGTTTGTCTAACAAAAAAAGCAAGTTAGGTGTTACTCACTTTGGGCCCTTGTAGTCCTGGTTTTCCTGGAGGACAGATGCAGGGAGCTGCCGTTGAACCTACATCACTGGGACCGTTCAGGCACTAAAAGAGAAGGAGACATACCACACGGCAAGATGCACACACACGTGTACACACACCACAGGGCAAGATGCGCACACACGTGTACACACACCACACAGCAAGATGCACACACACGTGTACATACACCACACAGCAAGATGCGCACACACGTGTACACACACCACACAGCAAGATGCGCACACACGTGTATACACACCACACAGCAAGATGCACACACACGTGTACACACACCACACAGCAAGATGCACACACACGTGTACACACACCACAGGGCAAGATGCGCACACACGTGTACACACACCACACAGCAAGATGCACACACACGTGTACACACACCACACAGCAAGATGCACACACACGTGTACACACACCACACGGCAAGATGCACACATGTGTGCACACGCGTGTGTCAGTGTGTGTGTGAAACGGTGAAGACAACTTACATTTACTTCCCAATCCAATAAGAAATTCAGCATCACACAAACAAGCTATGAATACCAGATACACTCAAACCACATAGAAATGGACTCTATTTCTCTAATATACTTACAATTGATGGAAGAAGCTAAACAGTCCCACCATGCAAACATTACCATAAGGAGAATAATAGTATCCAGGCCTACCTCACCATTCTGAAAGAAAAACAACAAACATGTTTTTAGGACATGCTTTGAATTAAATTTCTAAATTGTCTTTCTAATTTACAGATATTTCTTTGTCCAGAGTAGAGATAAATGAAGTATCAAAACCAGCAAGAGCTAAACCATTTGATAGCAACTATCCTAAAAAATTACCTATATATGTTACTCTTACATTTATAATAGGATGAAGGAAGGAAATTAGCAATGATGAGAGTGTGCTTGGTAAAACAGTTATGCAGGAATAAAAATACCTCAAGGTGGGGTTTTATGCTCTCTTGAACTTTCTGGAAATCACTTAGTGAAATGAAAGTCATTCAGTTGTGTCCCATTCTTTGCAACTCCATGGACTGTCATCCACCAGGCTCTTCTGTCCACAGAATTCTCCAGGGAGACATAAAAGACTCGGGTTCAGTCTCTGGGTCAGAGAGATCCCCTGGAGGAGGGCAGGGCAACCCACTCCAGGATTCTTGCTTGGAGAATCCCCTGGACAGAGGAGCCTGGCGGGCTACAGTCCACAGGAATGCGAAGAGTCAGACACAACTGAAGCGACTTAGCACGCATGCATGCACCCTGGGGAAATCACTTGAGAACCCAAGAAAAAGACAAAACACATCTAAGCAAGTCACAAACTACATACATTCAATTTATGCAATTTACTTTAGGAAAGCTTCTGGCTAAACAATCTATTTCTTACTGAATAATGCACAATTTTAAATATGCTAGTAGTCTTTCCAAACAATAACAGATTCAATCAGAAAATGAGAAGATGGGAATAAAGGTGAAAAAGGGTATAAACAAACCTGAAGAAGTCACACATGAGAGGAAGAAGGCATTAAAACACAGAAGGTGGATATGAGAACTCAGAATCTACAGTCTCAAGCTATGCTTCTATCATGGGAGGCGGGGGGCGGGGTGGGTAGAGTGGCCATGGCCAAAGTCAGTGGAGAAATGCAATAAATCAAGTATGTACGACAGACTCTCAAAATATAATAACTGCTTAATGCTTTTAGGAGAGATTTATATTCTAAGTTATAAGTATCTAAAATAAACATTATAGTGTTTAAACGAAAGAAATTTATATCCCAAGTTATAAGTATATATAAAAGTTATAGTGTTTAAAAAATTAAAGTAGAAAACGAAGAAGGAATCATTTCTAGAAGTTTCCATTGTTGATTTTTATTATAGAGCCCTTAAATTCACTGCTCTGTGCTTTCAATTTTTCAGAAGATGTGGATCCATAAGTTACTCAGTTTAATAGGGAAAAAGAAGATGATGACAAGACTATAACAAGGAGAAGAACCATGTAGGGCTCAAATGTCACTGAGAATTCACATTGTCAAAAAGTTTTATATTCTACCATTTCTGCATTACCAACAATATACCATTTTTCCCCCAGAGAAAAATTAGTTTCACTCATGCATATGATCAGACTCTAACATTTTAGTTTATAATCTTTTTCTTCCTAATGCATTAAAATCTCTAAATAGATAGAAAGTTGCTTATATCCTAGAAACATAAGAAAATCTTACCTGACTAACAACAATAAGAAGAAAACTTTATATTCATTATGGTTTGAAAAAAACATGCTAATGGACAGGAAAATGAATCATTTTCTACTCTTCAGAATCATGCCACATCAGAATCAATGAAGTTTAGAAACGTGTTTTACTCACTGGACATTAAGACAATGAATTCTATGTTTTTCTAGAGCAGGTCCAATCCTGCTTCACTCAAGAAGTGGAACAATGACCCCCAAGATGATGAAAAAATGTTTGCTGTGCTCTTCCATTTACACTTCTACATTAATACATAGTAACAGTATTTCAATTATGAACCTCAAAATATGTTTTAATCAGTATCATTTTATTTGCACTGAAAATGAAGAAACAGATTAACTCTGTAAGTTAAATTCAAGCTCACATGCTATCTGCATTCTATTTATTGCTTTGAAAGTTCTAAAGCAACACCTGGTGGATAAAATAATCCATCCTACTCACAAATCCAGGAATTTCACATGCTGTCTCCCGATTGTTCTGCTCTGGGTCACAGTAGATTCGTAGCTTTTGGACATCAAACTGGAAACACAAAACCAGTCAAGTTAAAGTTGAGGCCCAAACAAACTGCCTTATAAAAAGCAACTCAGATACACAGAAGCAGTCACTGTAGTTAGCAATAATGTGACACAGATCAAAGCACTTATCTTTGATAACAATAAAATACAATAAATAATAAAAACACAAAATTTGAATTCTTGACATACAGTATAAAGACGTGATGCAATGTAACTTCCAAGGAAAACTTTCCTAGCACCAAACACAAATCTCTGTTTCCTTGGGAAACCCAGTGGTACTTATGTAGTATCCTTGTATTAAGAGCTCCTCTAGAAAGCGTTTCCTGGACCACCAGAAAGTTTTCCCAGGCTTTCCGTGTTCAGCCTGCATCTCTCCACATCCCTGATTGCACAGAGTAGGCTCAAGAAACCATCTTTGGTTTCCAAGATTTAGTTGTTGGCACAGAGAGCTGTGTGATGAGTAAACCCAGCACCTCTTACTATTTAAATATTTACTACAATTTGGCATTAGTACATAGAGACCATAATCATACATCTGAATATGACACCATCTTCTCTTGATAGAAACAGAGTGAGAAAAACATACCTTTTCAAATAAAGGATTTTTCAAGACATGGCTTGAAATTTACACCTCTCAACCCATAATAGATATGCTAGCTTAAAAGAATACCAGAACAGTCACAGTTTTGCTTATGAAAATCCTGACACACATTAATCTAATTTTATCCTCACAGCTGTAAAGAAATTTTTATAACCACCACTCACAACTTTAATCACATTCTCTTTTCCAAATTCATGATATAATCTATGCTTCTCCTGGGAAATATGAAATTAATGTTTCATAATAGCATAGAATTCTACCATGTACTCAGGAGAACATATTTCTAAGAATTATTATATTGAGTCTGATTTTTCATTTTCATACATACACAAACATACGACCACTTTTTGATTAAGTCCCTTAAAGGAATTAAATTAAATATAATTAAATGTGATAAATACTATCACCAAAGCTCCATTTTATAGGATGAAAACAGCAAATCATTTTTACTCACCTGAACAGTTTCTTCTTTCCCAGAGTATTTTCCAATTTGGGTTTGCCCACTGATGAAGATCCCTAACACTGGATGTAAGAGCTTGTTTTCAATTTGTTGATCATCAATAAACAGAGTTACATCTTGTTCTGTTACTAAGAGACGAATTTGATGCCAGCCTTCATCAAATAATGTCTATAGGAAGGGAATACAGGAGGTTCATAAAGAGAATTCCTAGCAATCTTGTATCTTCTTTGTCTCTATTCTTTAGTCATCAACCATAAATCCATACCACGCAGATTGGTTGTATCATATTCTAACTCACCCTGACCCAAGCTGGGTCCCAAAGGCCAATACCCACCAGTCACTTTATTAATCCCTACATGAGTTTCCATCGCTCATTCCCAAGAAGCTGGACCAAAGTGTTTGTGGAAACAACTCCCTCAAGGTCACAGAAAAGTTCCTCATGTCCCAGTTCAAGTGGCTTCTTTCATCCCCTCATCCTACGTACTTCATAGCAACCGTGGATCATGTAACTAGCCCGTCCAGTTTGACAGTCTCTGCCAAACCTTCTTCCTCTCCTGATTTCCATGAAACGATATTAATAATATCCCCCGTTTTTAAACCACAGCAAGCACCCTTACCTCCTCCTCCTTACCTCAGTTGCCATAACAAATAGACGCAAAATTCCAGCAAGGATGTGTTTAAGCAGAACTCAGATTCACTTCTGCACTGCCCTTCTCTGTCATAATTTAGGCTCACAGGTATCTTGCTTTGTTTGAATAATTTTTTTTGTTTGAATAATTTTTAAACACATCTCAATCTCTGTCCCTTCCCTCTCCAAGCCAACCTAGAATTCTCTACCAGAATTAATCTCATGTCCCCATCTTCATAATTTCTGTATTCCTTGGACCAAGCCCAGTTCCAGGAAGGAGTCAAAGGTATTCTTTATGAAGGGGAAGGAGCAGAGGAGAGAGCTGCTTAGATCCTGACAGGACCGTGACCGAGACTTTCTGATGGAATTCCATCATTGACTGAACGAAATGCAAAACCGCGTGTAGAGTTCCCAGGCCCACGTCCACATACAAGATACAAGTTTGAACTTATACCTGGCTAGCTTTGTCTGTGTGTGAATATCTTATACTCGAAACACAGTGGGCACCACATTCTATTCCCTAAATAAAAACCCTGTACTTTACTACACGTGACTCCTTAGTAATGAACCACTGATTCCCGTGTCCTCTCTTTCCATCAAAATCCTATACATCCTGTATAATGGGCTCCAGTTTCATCCATCTCAATAGACCAATACAGTATACTAATGCATATATATGGAATTAGAAAGATGGTAACAACCCTATATGCAAAACAGAAAAAGAGACACAGATGTACAGAACAGACTTTTGGACTCTGTGGGAGAAGGCAAGGGTGGGATGTTTTGAGAGAACAGCATCAAAACATGTATATTATCTAGGGTGAAACAGATCACCAGCCCAGGCTGGAGGCATGAGACAAGTGCTCGGGCCTGGTGCACTGGGAGACCCAGAGGAATTGGGTGGAGAGGGAGGTGGGAGGGGGGATCGGGATGGGGAATACATGTAACTCCATGGCTGATTCATGTCAATGTATGACAAAAACCACTACAATATTGTAAAGTAATTAGCCTCCAACTAATAAAAATAAATGGAAAAAAAATAAATATAAAAATAAAGAGGGATAAATCTCAGAAAATCCTATACATCCTTCAAAGCCCATTCCAGAAACCAACTCATGTATGAAGACTTGCCCACATTTTGTATTGGAATCCACTTTTTCTTCCACACTGCAGTAACATTTTGCACTTCTATGAGATACCAGAAGCACTGGATATCACATTATAAATAAGTTCATTTAGGTGAGAAACATGCCGTATTCATTTGCCACTTCTTATAGAAACCAGCACGTTGACTTTAATGAAAACAGCAGACAACGTTTTAAATTTATTCTTCTCACCAAATGAAGAAATTGCAAAAATGCATAGTTCCATGTACAGCCTTGTATATTTCCTAAATTATATAACATACTATTAGACTGTTATCATAATCATCAAAGTGTAATTGTTTTATCATGATATCTGTATTCTGAACACATGTGCCTTGGAAAATACACTTTTAGTTTATGTATTTTATTAAATGTATGTTCCTTCAGGGGATATAAACTGTCCCCCTAATAAATGCAAATTCTATATCATTATCTACCTGTATTTAATGTTCTGACAAATGTGACTTTACCCCAATATCCTGTAGGACATGGCAGTATAAAGCAGACCAACATGGACTTTGAAACTGACTAGACCAAAATTAAATTCCTGATGTCACAATATACTAGCCATGCTAGTTAGAGGGAGAACTGAATATCCCTGAACATTTTTTTTTCCTGTAAAATGAGAGCAATAGCTTCTTCCTTGGGTGGTTATTATAAGTAAATATTCCTGGCACTTAGAAACAAGCACTGAAAAATATGATTTTCCCCATCCCACAATCTCACATGAATTAAGACAGATTTTCACCAAAATGGAGTTGCCATATAGTCCACTCCTGGTTATATATCCAGACAATATACTATACTTCAAACAAAACTATACTTCAAAAAGATGCATGCATCCCTATGTTCATAGAGACATGGAAACAACTTAAAATGCCCATCAACAGATGAATGCACAAAGAAGATGTTATATATGTATATATATGTTTTATATATATGTATATATAATGGAATGCTACTCAGCCATAAAAAGAATGAAGTAATGCCATTTGCAGCAACATGGGTTAGATTATCACACTAACCGAAGCAAGCCAGAAAGAGAAAAACAGACACAGTGTGATACCCCTGATATCTGGAATCTAAAATAGGACACAAAAACTGATCTAAGAAAGAGAAACAGACTCACAGACACAGAGGACAGAACTGTGGCTGGCAGGAAGGGCGGGTGGGATGGAGTGTGAGGCTGGGGTTAGCAGATGCAGACTGATACTTATGCAATGGATAAGCGACAAGGTCCTTCCCAGTATAGAGCAGAGAGCATTATATTCAACATCCTGTGAGAAACCATAATGGACAAGAATATGAAAAAGGATAACTATATGTATAAATAAATCATTCTGCTATACACCAGAAATTAACACCTACTGTAAATCAACTATACTCCAATAATTAAAAAATGCTAATTTTCTTCCTTTGCTGCTTCTGTTCAGTAAGCGAAATTACATTATGAAATCAGTATCTTTTCAGTCATCTTAAATTATGGCTCTCCTCTCCCAAAACACACCAACTTAACAGTAATTCCCCATGAATACCACAATCACACCCAGGAATCTTTACCTTAACTCGAGGGTCAGCAAAGGTGACCACTTGTGAGCCATTAATGTTGCTGGTTGTTGTAAATAATAATGTTTTATCCACTCCATTTAAGGTAACTGCTATTTGTGGCCTTCCATCAATGGTTAAAATTCTCCACAAATCCCATATTTTCTTGACCTTAAATCTCTGAGTGGAGACAAATACGTATGATGGAGGAAGACCTTCTGGGAAAACATTGCTGGAAAAAGAAGAATGTGTATGAGCTTAAAGAATTCTCAAAATGTCTACAGATTTATCAAGAAAAAACTGTATCAACATATAACATTGTGGGGGGATGGGAGAGAGGTTCAAAAGGGAGGGTATGTCTGTATACATATAGCTGATTCACTTTATTATACAGCAGAAACTAGCCCATTGTAAAGCAATTATGCTTCCCCGGTGATTCAGACCGTAAAGAATCTGCCTGAAGTAAGGTAGACCCGGGTTCGATCCCTGGGTGGGGAAGATCCTCTGGAGGAGGAAATGGCAACCCACTCCAGTACTCTTGCCTGAAGAATACCATGGACAGAGGAGCCTGGTGGGCTACAGTTCACAGGGTCACAAAGAATTGGACACAACTGAGTGACAAACACACATGAAAATAATAAAATAAAATAGGAAAATACATATAACATTTACCTTGTGAATTCTGATAAATCAACTTTGGATGTTATTTCATATCCTTTAATCTTTGTTGGTGAAAGCTGAATTCTCTTCTTAGCCTTTTTCTTTACACCCAAGCCTAAAAGAATATCAAACCCCTTCTCATCACGTGCTGCCACCGGAATTCTTGTTGGACAGACAGATTCTATGAAGGAAAAGGCGTAAAAGTTGATTAATCATGGGTTACTTCAACAACAAAGAAAATTAAGGGAGGAATAAAGAACATAGAATTATAAAATCTCTATATGCACACCAACATACATAAATGTATTTCTGAGAAAACATTTTTCTTTTGTTTTCAGAGTGTTTCTGTTACTTGACGATGGAGTCTTATCTTCCTTCTCCCTAAAAGAGGATGAAATATAAGACAAATATCTGTTCATGAACTGTTTTAAGGGCAACACTGTGCTGAAGTCTACACGTCACTGTTTGACTGTGAGGCCACTTAACACCTGGGCTGCGGTGGAGGGCTGGAGCAGGACTTCTGCTTCTCATCCAGGACCGTCCGGTAGTCACACACCCTTGGATAACGCTCTTGAACTTCTTGGATCGGGAGATGAACCCTGACTGCTTTCTTGCTTTCCCAGCATGTGAGAGGTAAGAAAAAACATGTGTGTTGTTCCTTATATTCTTTCCAGTTCTAGCAGTTTATAATCTTACAGTTTAAATGCCATTGGTTGTCTCACTCTGGAAAAAACTTAACTGCCGGTCTTTTCTGTTCATGGAAATTCTTCAGATGGGCCTATTATCTCATCTATGATTAATCGGATTATATATTCTATTAATCACATTCATAAATGAACAAAGACTTTTTCCTTAAGAAGAGTCATTAAGGTTTGTATTATACAGTCATCTATATAAATTATAAAAATGTGATGTGCTTTTCAACTGTCTGGGAAACTAGTGTCTCAAATTATGTGGAAAATTCTGTACAGTTGAAATGCTATTAAGCTGTTATAGTGTAGGAATGTTGCAATATTTTCAGATTCTTCCAAGGCCATCCTATAATATACACACTGAGCCTGACTGCTTATATTTTATAGAGCAGCCAACAGAATATAAAAAGAAGAAACTCCACAAAATGTGCTTTAAGATAATCGTTCTCCTGAAAAACATTAAAGAGAGGGAACAGCATCATATTTATCCTATAATAAAAAGTAATGAGATGGATTTTATTAGGTCAATAATACTGTCATAACTTGTACCACAGAATGCTGAAACTAATTAAAGTTTTGTTATAAATAAAACTAGATGTATTCCTGAGAAGATATGGATATTTGCATCTTCAGGTCTAAGGATGCTGAGTTGTTTAGCCTGCTTGTTTGTTTCTTATTCTGGTTTTGCTTTCTTTGGCTGCAGTTGTCTGTTTATTTGTTTTGGCCACAGAGCGCATCATGGGGGGTCTTAGTTCCTGACCAGGGATCAAACTTACACTCTGTGGAGTGGAAGCTTGGTGTCTTAACTACTAGACACCCAGGGAAGTTCTGGGGTTTTGCTATTTAAATAGCTTTACTGAGCTAAATTGAGATACAATAAACCAAACATGAAGTATGCCATAAACCAAACATAAAGTTTACAATCTGATTAGTTTTGACACATGTATATACCTGTGAAACTATCTCCAGTGACGAAGCAATGAACATGTGCATCTGGCCCAAAAGCTTCCTTATGTTCCTTGCAGTCTGCTCTGATCACCACTCCTATCCCAATCCCATCCGCATTCCCAGGCACCACTGTCTCCTGTCACTACAGGTAAGTTTGAATTTCATACAATTCTACAGAAATGGAAGCGTATTGTTTGTCCTCTTTCTTGTCTGGCTTCTTTCATGCAGCATGATTATTTTAGATCCACTCTGGCTATTGTTTCAGTAGTTCATTCTTTTTGAAGGCTGATTAGTGTCCATTGTATGGATATATCACAATTATCTATACGCTTGCTGATGGACATTTGGATCACTAATACTGCAAATAAAATTAAGTTTTGATATAAATAGAATTAGATGTATCCCTGGGAAGGGAGGGGTATTTTCCTCTCAGATCACAGGTTGCTGAGTTTTGAAGGACCTAATCAATCACATTCTTCTTCCTCTAGGAAGCTTAGCTAATGAGAAGATATAGAAACTGTGCAAGCAGAAGATGCTGGTTAGGGGTGTGATCCAGAGCGTCTGATGAGACAGTGAGCTGTAATTAACCACCCCGCCTGGCAGCCCAGCAGGTCTGATTCATTCCCCAACCATCCAAGGAACAGGACTGGCCCCTAAGCTCACACAGGACCCAAAGAGAAAAGGGAGTTCCAGCTTCACACGCCTATCCATCCAAAAAGAAAGCGCTAAAGGCACTTTGCCAACATGACCATCTACTTTTCTCAGATGCCCTTATCTGAAGACGCATTTTCTCACTAGTGGTAAGGAGTGAAAGAAGGTGGAGAAAGGTCAACCTTGACACTCATTGCGGCATTGCTTTTGATTTGAATGAGAACTCCCCAAAAAACTTTGCCTATACCTAGAAAAGAGCCAACTCAAGTGAACTTTGAACAGAGAAGTGACAAATTAGACTTCACTATTAAACCATCTTTACATTTTGAAATAATCCATGTTCTGACAAATATTATTCTTTTACTACATTACTGAATTAATTTGTCTTTTCACCTCTACTTAAAACTGAGATTTCTTATCATTTAAAAACTCATTTTAATGTAAAATCAAGACAACTTATTAAAAGAAGAGCTAATCTAGCTGAAGCTCCTTCACATGAAAACGCAAGAAGCAGGGAATAAATGGGGTACTAATGCTGTATTACATAACTGAAATCGTAAATCAATAAATTAAATTCTTCCTGTCATTATGATGCAAGATTTGTTCCTGGCAGGGGGCAGGGTAATACAGAACAACATGAAGCCTCATTTCAAATGCATTTGATTTAAAATTGCAAAAGAAAGAAGCTTATTTGAAAAGAAAATGTGTTAAACATTATATCATAAGAATAGTCAGATTTGAATTGCTCTTTTGATTTGTTTTACCAAAGAGAAGTTATAAGATATTAGACAAAGAGCTCCAACTGAAGATCAGAATCTGAGGTTTAGACCAAAGCCTCGCTCTTAACCTCTCACGAGCCTCTGGCCCCTCATCTGTGAAGTGAGAATAATGCTCTCCTTCACAGGGCTTGTCTGATGATGTATGTGGAAATGCTTCATAACTTCAAAATAGCATGCAAGTGTGGGGAAGAAAGCAAGTACTGTGTTCATCCTTTTTCTATAATCAAATCTTTTGCACTGTATTCTATTAATAATGCCCAGGATTGTATAGGAAACAGTGTGGCACAGTGCATGAAATCAAAAATGTATATTAATAATCACACTATAGCCATGGTTTCATTAACATCCAGCACATCTCATTAGTGATCATGCATGCTCAGTCATGTCCAGCTCTTTGCAACCACACAGACTGAAGCCCGCCAGGCTCCTCTGTCTGTGGGATTTTCCAGCAAGGACACTGGAGTGGGCTGGCCATGCCGTCCTCCAGGGGATCTTCCCAACCCAGGGCTCTAACCCGTGTCTACTATGTCTCCTGCATTGCAGGCAGATTGTTTACCACTTGAAGCCCCCTCATTAGGGAAAATGTATTTAAATATTTACATTTTATTTTTCTATCGGCTTTCAATTTTTTAATTGTAAAGTAAACATAAAATTTATCCTTTTGACTATTTTTAAGTGTAAATTCACTACCATTAAGTACATTCAAATGTTGTATATCTACCGCCACTATTCCAGGGAACCAGAAAAGAAAACAAGCAAAAACTCCACAAAAGCAGAAAAGCTTCAATTTTCAGAAATAGAAGCTTTGTACCCATTGGACAATAACTCCTCACGTTTCTCTCTTCTCAGCCCCTGGTACCCTCATATTTTCTTGAAGGAATAATCTTTCTTCCCTATTTGCTCACCTATAAGAACAATAAAATATCCTTATACACAGGAACTAAAAAGTAAAATGTAGCTAAAATGCTCAAATGCAGTTTGCATATTTGCATACACCTAGCTATGGGAATGGAGAAGGAACTGGCAACCCACTCCAGTACTCTTGCCTGGAGAATCCCAGGGACGGAGGAGCTTGGTGGGCTGCTGTCTATGGGGTCGCACAGAGTTGGACACGACTGAAGAGACTTAGCAGCAGCAGCAGCTTCAATGAGGAGAAGGCAATAGCACCCCACTCCAATACTCTTGCCTGGAAAATCCCATGGACGGAGGAGCCTGGTAGGCTGCAATCCACGGGGTCGCTAAGAGTCGGAAACGACTGAGCGACTTCACTTTCATTTTTCACTTTCATCATTGGAGAAGGAAATGGCAACCCACTCCAGTGTTCTTGCCTGGAGAATCCCAGGGACAGGGGAGCCTGGTGGGCTGCCGTCTATGGGGTCGCACAGAGTCGGACACAACTGAAGTGACTTAGCAGCAGTTATGGGAAACAGGTAAAAGAAAGTTTCCATACATAAAAAGCTACTTTGATTGCCAACCAAAACCTTCCAGGGAAATAAAGGTAAAAAACTAACTTCTCTATAGTGTCCTAAAAAGATGTATGTTAAAGCATGCAACCAATTTCCATTGGAAATTGGAAATAAAAATTGGAACTTGGAAGTTATTTTAAGGACCAAGAAAATCAAATGCTAACAGAGTCAGTCAGAGGATAATACCCACAACAGGTAAGTAGAACAATCTAGATAAAGCAAGTTAGTTTGAAGAAGTACATTTAGGAGCAAGGACAAAAAGAGAAAAAGAACTCAAGATCTAAGTTCTCAAGTGCAGGAAACTAAACAGTTGTAATTTTATCCCAATATGTACAGAGTATTCAGGAAAGGAATGCTTTCTAGAACAAGCATGGATCACTCCAACTTATTTTAAACACTAGGGTGCAGTAATAATTGCTTTCTGTTAAATCTAAGAGCTAAGTAATATAAGTAATTCAGTCTTATCAGAGTCATAAAAACGTGTTCTATTTAAAATCCCACCTTAGTCAGGGACAGAAAACCTGTTTATCTTTTGAGTCTGACCAGGATGATTACATATGTCCAGCTACTCCTTTCTGTGTATGCTTGTCTGACTTTGGTGACCCCGTGGACTATAGCTTGCCAGACTCTTCTGTCCATTTGATT